CCCCAAAACCCCAAAACCCCAAAACCCCAAAACCCCAAAACCCCTTAAAATACTCTTGAGGTTGAAAATTAATATAAAGATGTTTAAAGTCTGGAGGAACAGGATACTATTTGGATATATCACTTCATCTCTCCTGTTTTTGGAGTACCCAAAGCTATCCCCATTTGCCAACATTAACACCATGTTTAACCATCCCAAGAAGAATAAGTACAGTGTTGGAGCTCACAGGGGAGGATGCCATGAGTAAGAGATATTAGGTTTTAGACCTATTTTTGCTAAATAACATTTGCGATGTTTTCTGTATAGATACCCTGAAAACACTATGGCTGCATTTGAAAATGGAGTCAAGCAAGGTTGAGATTATATCGAACTTGATCTACACTTAACCAAAGATAAGCAAGTTGTGGTAAGGAAGATTGAAATATTCAGATAACTGATCTGATTGTCTTTGAGAATAGAGCAGCTTCTATTTACTCTTTGACATAAGTTCATTATCTACTTTGGAAGAGGAATTTTGCACATTTGCTGTTAAAATAGCCTTAAAATATAGATAAGTCATGATGATAACTTAAGAAGATTCGTTGGTGTGGATAAATACATAAAAGATTTAAATTATGATGAAATATCTCACATAATTCAGTATAATTTTTTTAATATTTTAGAGAAAACTCTAAAGACGAGAATTTTCAAAAATTATCCCTTTTTGAAGAAGTTCTTCAGAAATTTGATGTTCCCATAAACTGAGATTTCAAGAAAGGAGAAAAGGATGTGATTCTCGAAGCTCATTCTTTAATCAAGAAATATAAATACCAGGACAAAATAATCTGGGGAAGTTTTCATCAATCTACTACAAAAATGTTGAAGGAAGTTGACCCTCAAATTTCAAGATTTGTCTCAAAAGAAGAATTCTTTAAATGTACCCTTCTCTACTACCTCGGGTTGCTTCCATTCTGTAAGATAGACTTCCAATCTTTCCAGGTTCCTTATCCAAACGAATTCTTTTGGAGCAACAGGCTAACTGATAGCAACAGAAGTGTTTTCGAGAATCCAAAAACATTCAAAGTTCTATTTAAAATGATTCAATGGACTATCTCCCCGATGCTTAAGCACTTAGAAAAGAGAGGAATTCAGACCATTCTGTGGGTCATTAATGATCAGGATGATCTCGACAAAGTTCTTAAATATGATGTGCATGGAATAATGACAGATGAGCCCTCCATAATGGTTCCTAAACTCAAGAAAAGAGAGTAAAATTATTTTATCAAGTGCTCCTCTCCAGTTGGGGTTTTGGGGTTTTGGGGTTTTGGGGTTTTGGGGTTTTGGGG